GTGATTACTCAAAGTTATCCCTTCGTTGTCAATCAATCACATTAAATCGCTAGTTTCCAAAAAAAATAAAAAAAGAATGAAATCCAAATAAATCTTGAATCGATCATGGCTTCCATGCGTCTAAATTACTTTTTAAAGAAACGTGGCAAATTTTCTCCACCTTCAATGAAAAAGAACGAGAAGAAAATAGACTTATTCCTAATGTTAGCGTGAATACCAGAAGGCTTAGGGTCTTTCGTAAACATTATTTTATTAGAAGACTCCTTATCAAGAACCCACCGCGAATAATGAGAACAGAATGCTAAAACTAACCCTAAAATGCTACAGGTTTTATCTGGAATCATAGAAACGTCTAATAAGAATACAAGACGAATATTTCCTTACGTAACAATGAATTCTTTATTCACTACTGGACTCAAATTAACGTCGGTCGAATCAAGGGTATGGGGTTTCGGTTTTCTTCAAACGTTCGATCTTCTTGCCAGAGAGTGCAGGATTCGCTGTCACACCGTGTTGGTCAGCTGAATGTACAGCTTCCTGGGACCCGGTTGTCTTGTCTGTGCGTATCCTACATTCAGCTGGTTTCACTCCCCCTTTTATGTTGATGTGCTCATCGATATTCTTCGAGCCAGATTTTGCTGTTGGTGGATTTGAAGTCACACTGTACTTCAACTCTCTGGGGTATCTAGCTCTTTTGACATTCTGATGTGACCCCGAGTTCAATGCTTACTTTGGCATCTCTTAGGGTGAACGCAGTACATATTCGAGTCACCACAGGTCAACTCTTCTTAGATCAAGGTTGGGCATTAAATTCGATTCAGACTGCAGTGAATATATCTGTGGTGAAGGATCAATCCAACATTTGCCTTATGTAACAAAGCGGCCACTGATCGCATGAATATATTGGCGGTAAGATGACGGTATTTGGGGATACTGATACGGGATTATGAAAATATGAGTGCTCATAGAAAAGAGCGGACACGAGGCAAAAGCCATAGTGGCAGATGAGATGACAATTGGTGACATTGTGTTTTTCATGTCCAGACGGAATAAGGGACATCGACAAGTGCATGGGTATAGACAAAGATATCTTCTAAATGCTAAGCGATTCAAAAATTTGGTTGCTTGATTTATTTTTTTACGACTTATCAACGCAGTTTTTAAAAACAATCATTTTACCCCCAAGCAAGGCAATAAAGCCACTAAGACGCAAAGGGTTACTGAGTGTGAAACGATCGAGAACTATAAAAGAAGAGGAATCAAGAAGACAGTAGATAACGATTGACATTGCAATTAAATTTTCGAAGGTCAAAGTTGGGTGGAAAGCAAGAATCCGGAAGAAAGTTCCACTAGCGAGAAATGCGAAAAAAGAAACAGCTAGCATAGAAGTTTCTGTTACATATAAGCAATTCCTAAATCAATTCCGACTTGAGAGAGTTTGATCCCCACTAGATGCCCCAGAGTTTCGGACTGGTGCCAAATCTAAGCTACGCTTAGAAAATCAACATCAAACCAATTCAGTTATAAAATGCAGGTTATTTAAAGACATGAAATAGTTCTAAACTGTAAGAATTATTTTGGGATAATAATGATTCACTGATAGAATTCTACTAATTAACCCATAGCCGGAGGATGAAGAGGTGAGTTCATACCTTTCCCAAGGGTATTTGTGCATAAATAAATATTAAGAACCCAACTGGAATTGGAACTCTGTACTTCGATTTCCATTTACAAATCGTTATCCATTATATCAGCCTCACATCCAAGCTTAGAGAATCTGGTATTCACAACGGTCACCCACTTAGGTACTGAAAGAGCTCTTGGTGAATTTGACAGTCACAGAACATACTGAAATCAAGAGAGAGAGAGAGAGAGAGAGAGAGAGAAAGAGAGAAGGGGTAAAATGTCTAACAAGCTTGTGTAAATAAATCGTAGAATAGGCAGTAGCAGAGATTTTGAAAAGGCTAAACAAAAAGGAAGTTGTTGAGAGCCATAATTGCCTACGTCGGAATACGGCACGTATTTGAAGACCTGAAGGGTCCAAGAAAGAATTCACAAAAGAAAATACTTTAAAATTAGGCAGAAAATATATTTTGTTGATTATAGCAGTTAAAAAGGTTTTCATGAACGTCCAGACAAAATGGCTATCACCATTATCATCATCATAAAGAACGTTGTAACGAACGTTCAGACAAAATGGCTATCATTGTCATCATCATCATAAAGAACGTTGTAACGAACTTGCAGACAAAATGGCTATCATTGTCATCATCATCATCATCATAAAGAACGTTGTAACGAACGTGTAGACAAAATGGCTATCATTGTCATCATCATCATCATAAAGAACGTTGTAACGAACGTGTAGACAAAATGGCTATCATTGTCATCATCATCATCATCATCAAAAAGAACGTTGTAACGAACGTACAGACAAAATGGCTATCATTGTCATCATCATCATCATCATCATCATCATCATAAAGAACGTGGTAACAAACGTGTAGACAAAATGGCTATCATTGTCAACATCATCATCATCATAAAGAACGTTGTAACGAACGTGTAGACAAAATGGCAATCATTGTCATCATCATCATAAAGAACGTTGTAACGAACGTGCAGACAAAATGGCTATCATTGTCATCATCATCATCAACATAAAGAACTTTGTAACGAACGTGTAGACAAAATGGCTATCATTGTCATCATAATCATCATCATCATAAAGAACGTTGTAACGAACGTGTAGACAAAATGGCAATCATTGTCATCATCATCATAAAGAACGTTGTAACGAACGTGCAGACAAAATGGCTATCATTGTCATCATCATGATCATAAAAAAGAACGTTGTAACGAACGTGAAGACAAAAAGCTATCATTGTCATCATCATCATAAAGAACGTTGTAACGAACGTGTAGACAAAATGGCTATCATTGTCATCATCATCATCATCAAAAAGAACGTTGTAACGAACGTACAGACAAAATGGCTATCATTGTCATCATCATCATCATCATAAATAACGTTGTAACGAACGTGTAGACAAAATGGCTATCATTGTCATCATCATCATCATCATCATAAAGAACGTTGTAACGAACGTGTAGACAAAATGGCAATCATTGTCATCATCATCATAAAGAACGTTGTAACGAACGTGTAGACAAAATGGCTATTATTGTCATCATCATCATCATCATCATCATAAAGAACGTTGTAACGAACGTGTAGACAAAATGGCTGTCATTGTCATCATCATCCTAAAGAACGTTGTAACGAACGTGCAGACAAAATGGCTATCATTGTCATCATCATCATCATCATAAAGAACGTTGTAACGAACGTGTAGACAAAATGGCAATCATTGTCATCATCACCATAAAGAACGTTGTAACGAACGTGCAGACAAAATGGCTATCATTGTCATCATCATCATCATCATAAAGAACTTTGTAACGAACGTGTAGACAAAATGGCTATCATTGTCATCATCATCATAAAGAACGTTGTAACGAACGTGCAGACAAAATGGCTATCATTGTCATCATCATCATCATCATCAAAAAGAACGTTGTAACGAACGTGAAGACAAAATGGCTATCATTGTCATCATCACCATAAAGAACGTTGTAACGAACGTGTAGACAAAATGGCTATCATTGTCATCATCATCATCATCATCATCATAAAGAACGTTGTAACGAACGTGTAGACAAAATGGCAATCATTGTCATCATCAAGAACGTTGTAACGAACGTGCAGACAAAATGGCTATCATTGCCATCATCATCATCATCATCATCAAAAAGAGCGTTGTAACGAACGTGCAGACAAAATGGCTATCATTGTCATCATCATCATCATCATAAAGAACGTTGTAACGAACGTGCAGACAAAATGGCTATCATTGTCATGATCATCATAAAGAACGTTGTAACGAACGTGCAGACAAAATGGCTATCATCATGATCATCATCATCATAAACAAAATCGTTCTAACGAACTTTCATTTGAAATGGTTATCATCATCATCTTTATCATCATTATCAACAACATGTAACAAGCGCCGAGATAAAATCATTACAATCTCTGTCACGTTCTTTTTTGTATTCAACGATGATTAAAAAAACCCTTGACTCATGACAAAAATGTGTTCTTGGAAGCTATTATTTCAAATCTACATAATACTTCAGATTTCTGGAGTGGAAAAAAAACTCTCAGAGACCCCTGACAAGGGCTTATTTCACGAGAAGGAGAAAAACAAATCTCGCACGCATTATAAAAACAAACTCTCCACCCTACACATTAGCATTCCGAAACGTACATGCTAGATCTCCTCGACCTAAATAAATAAATAAATCAAAAGATGAAATACTTGAAAAAAATCTCCTTCATCGTATTCCTTTTAATATAATACGAAGAAAAACATTCAAAATGGCCGAATAATAGCGTTCTCTTCCCGGGAAGCAAAGTAAAACGGAAAACATTCATTGCCCCTGTTGCAGTTCAAGGAATAAAATATGGCTTCTTCCACGCCCGGTCGTTACGCATTTGCTTCTATTCATCTCATTAATAAATAGAAAAGAACTTCTGTCAAGGCGACTCATTTCTATAAAAGAAGATTTAAGTCGTTATTCTTGGAAGGGATCGCCTGATTTATATATTTAACTGTTATCTGAAGATTCAAAGGAGATCTATTTCCAGGTTCCTATATTTAAGTAAAGACGTGATCATGTGAATATGTACACAAAGATTTCTTTCTTTCTTTCTTTCTTTCTTTCTTTCTTTCTACTTGTTTCTCGAAATTAGACTTGTAAATAAAACTCTAAACGTCATGAATATATTCAAATATTTTCAAGCAGTAAATATCGCTTGTTCGTTTGTAGGAGTTGATTTGACAATTTTTGTGATTATGTACCTACACCTCAAGACATGTCAGTATCTATCTATCTATCTATCTATCTATCTATCTGTGGGCGAAAATGATAAATAAATTTTTACATAACAGAACAATAGTTACGTAAATTAAAGTCACAGAAAATGTTTCCACTGTCATTCTGTGTGTTTGTGTGTGTATATATATATATATATATATATATATATATATATATATATATATATATATATATATATATATATATATCAGTTTATTCCCCTATTTATCTATCTGTCTATTTTCATTTTACAGATGCGAATATACATACTGGAATTCAAACTCGTCCCTACAATTTCTCATTCCGAGCCTCTATTCATTACACCACTCGCACATCTGCACACACACACACACATACACACACACACACGCACACACACACACACACACATATATATATATATATATATATATATATATGTTAATAATGGAGTAATGGATGGCGGCTTGGATTGAGGAATCGCAAAGCCGAGTTTGAATTCAGTCGAATCCGTTATATTCACTTACGTTCTAATACCCTTGGGAAAGGCATGAATTCTCTTCCTCTCCTTCCAGCTATGGGTAAAATACCAGGACAGACTGGGTTCTATAGCCTTGGATGGCAACTGGTCTAGGAGAAGGACAACTCTGAATTCAAATCCTGCGGAGGGTCGTTTGGGATCCTTGTGGCATTCGGTGCACCAGGTCTCTGTATTCGTCCCTTCAAAAATTGTGGATGTTCCTGCACGAGGCCTTCACCACTATAATCAAATCTCATGTGCCGGTTTCGGGCTGTCGGTTTCCTGGAAACTGATCTGCTTGACCCTCATACGTCGAATCTTGACGGACGAGTCGATTATATTAATAATGATAATTGCAAGCATCAGAACAATTATGTCTAAACAATATCACTCACAAGGCTTGGGTCAACAAATCATATGGTTTACAGGGAATTTCCAAAAGTTAATAACATCAAGAAGTAACCTTCTTTAGAAATCCACCATAGTAAAATTCGTATCTCATGATGAAAAAGCGATATTTATAACCATTCGACCATATATATATATATATATATATATATATATATATATATATATAAAAGAACGTAAATTGGCTAGTCTCCAGCTATTATATATATATATATATATATATATATATATATATATATATATATATATAATAGCTGGAGACTCGTATTCGAGTCTACAACGGCGGCTAGCCAATCCCTATTGCAGACTCGCACTCAGGCACATTTGTGTTTGTTCAACACCTGCGGTTTATACTGCAACTATGCTGAGCAGACCTTAACTACAGTTTCTGGGAGAGAGAGCATGTTATCCAGAACGATCAACAATCTGAACAACACCAGTAAACTCAAACTATCGACGGCCCCCAAGTGTTCCGTCTACCCAATTTCACTCACAGTGCTTGGGTCAACACGGTTTTCAGGCACTTTCCAATACATATATATATATATATATATATATATTCATCCCAAACAAACACAGAAGTTACCCCTGTCACCACCAAGCATAGTCAAACAAGCATAAATAGATCCAATTTTAGAAAATAAACCAGTTTGTCTGATGATCGCAAAAGTGCGAAACCCAGGGTGACAAACATATATATAAACAACAAAATACACACACACACACCCACATATATATATATATATATATATATATATATATATATATATATATATATATATATATATATAGAAACTGACAGCCCGACACCGACACATGAGAATTGATTATAGTGGTGAAGGTTTCTGTGCAGGACCATCCACACTTTTGAAGGGCCGATTACAGAGACCTGGTGCACTATGTGCCAGAAGGTCCCCAAACGACCCTCCGCAGGTTTTGAATTCAGAGTTGTCCTTCTCCTAGACCAGTTGCCATCCAACGCTATAAAACCTGTCTGTCTTGATATTTTAACCCATGGCTGGAGGGAGAAGAAGAGGATTCACACCTTTCCCTTATATATATATATATATATATATATATATATATATATATATATATATATGAGGCCAAGAAGACTATATATATATATATATATATATATATATATATATATATATATATATATATAGTCTTCTTGGCCTCATGTTTTCGACTGGGACAGCTACATTGAATCAATAGCTGTATCTACCACAAAGAAAGTTGGTTCCCTGTGTCATGCCAGAAGGTTTTTCTCGCCTGAATCCACCCTTCACATCTACAAATCTACCATTCGTCCATGCACTGAATATTGTCGCCATATATAATCTGGTGTCCCTGTTGTTCATTCTTGACCAAATCCAACGAAGGATCTGCAATGCAGTCGATCCTGACCTGGCATCTCGACTCCAGTCACTTTCTCACAGACGTGATGTGGCTTCCCTCTGTCTTTTCTACACTATTTTCATGGCATCTGCCCTGACAAGCTATTTCCCCACTGGTGATCTGACTACATGAATTTAAGCATGATATTAGGTTAGCATCTTTTACTGTTGAAACAGTTAAATGCAACCTCCACTTCTATTCCAAGAATTTCTTCTCTTGCATTTTCCCGACAGTGGAATTCCCATCCTCTTCCTTGCTTCACTGATAACTAAAATCTTCAAAAATTTAAATACAACGTCAATCGTCATCTTCTGATGCCTTGAACCACATTTTGATTGCAATCAACACAATCACTTGACTTGTATTGAGCACTCTTTTAAGAATAGTGTTTTTGCTTATCGGAATTTTATTCCATCTATATCAACCTTGTACTTGTGTATATACATACATGATATATGTAGATATGAACAGAGTGAGATAGATAGATAGATAGATTGATAGATATAAACAGAATGATCTATCTATCTAGCTAGCTAGATGTGAACAGACTGAGATGGATAGACATAAACAGAATGAAATAGATATAAACAGAGTGGAATAGATAGATAGGTAGATAGATAGATAGACAGATAGATATGAACATAGATAGATAGATAGATAGATAGATAGATAGATAGATAGATAGATGTGAACAGGCTGAGATGGATAGATTTAAACAGACTGAATAGATATAAACTGTTTGGGATAGATAGATAGATAGATAGATAGATATAAACAAAGTGAGATAGATAGATAGATAGATAGATATAAACATAGTGATATAGATAGATGTGAACAGACAGAGATATATAAAAGATTGATATATATATATATATATATATAAACAGACTGAAGTATATATATATATATATATATATATATATATATATATCGTATATTTAATCATAATATGGAGAGTTCGCCCAAAAATGTACACACACTTCAGGGAAGTAAAAACTTCTATAGATATTGTAATACGAAATTTATTCAGGAGATTAATACAAGTTACATTTCTACTCTACAATTGTAAGAGATATTCAAAATGGTGGCGTTTAGCTTTCAGACATTTATTACTATGGCGAACTATTGCTTGGACGACGTTGGTCAAATCGTCCAATGGGATTGCTGCACATGCATTTTCAATTTCTTGTCTAAAGGCTGCCAATGTAATGCCATCTGTCGGGAAAATATCGTACTACAGTAAACAGTGTTATCGCAATTTGATAAAACTACGAAAGACAAGGTTTTCGTTTCTTGAAGTGTGTATACATTTTTATGGCGGACTCTGTATATTTATATATTAGTTTCAAACGAAAGTTCATAGCGGTTTTCAATAGATGGGGTGCGTTTGAACACATGATTCCGTTTCGCGCGTGACTGAAATTCATGGCATATATATATATATATATATTTTAGTACGTGTTTCCATCCGATTGGTGTGTGGATCGTGACTTTTAAATGTTTTTACGTTAAAAGAGAACAATGAAAAAGTAAATGAGATAGGTGCACATTATTCGACGCACTTTTATTTCCGGAAATAAAGAAATAAAAAAAAGAAACCATGTAAAACCAGCCCCAAAGATATTTGCTGTTTATGGAGATATTTCCATAGCTAAGAGTACTGACAAGCGGTTCGCTAGGTTTAAAAGCGGACATTTTGATATTCCAGGTAACACAGTAAGGGCCATTTCAGAAATACTCTATACAGGATGTCCATAAAGTCTCTTTACAATTTAAAAAATATATTACAAAGGAAATTTGATGAGATATCTTAATCAGATTTGTTCTATGTACTCAGTAGTTGTTAAAGATTTTAATTACATTGCATTTGTGTATTACAGGGTACCCTGATGATGAGAGATATACTGTTAAATGAACGCCTAATATTTCCAAATCGCTGGATTGGAAGCGATGGCCCATTTCCCTAGCGACCTCATTCATCAGATATCACTCCCCTGGACTTCTTTCTCTGGGGTTATGTTAAAGATGTCGTGTATCGAACAAAGATAGGGGACATCACTGATGGGATACGCTAGAAATCGAATATCGTCATTATGTGCCTCGGGCGACAAATTGTACCCCTATAGATTTGAATTAAATTAGTTCAAAAGACTTCAATATCTACTCCTCATTTTGTAACAATTTTCTATATATTTGTCTGTTCATTTGCTTTTGTAATAATTTTTTTAAATTGTAAAGAGACTTTATGGAAATCCTGTATAATAAGGAAACTGAGATAGATACATAGATAGATATGAACGGACTGAGATAGATAGATAGATAGATAGATATGAACAGACTGAGATAGATAGATAAACAGATAGGTAGATAGATAGATATGAACAGACTGAGATAGATAGATAGATAGATAGATATGAACAGACTGAGATAGATAGATAAACAGATAGATAGATAGATATGAACAGACTGAGATAGATAGATAGATAGATAGATAGATAGATAGATAGATAGATAGATAGATAGATAGGGAGAAACTTGAATAAAAAAAATAATGGATAAAATTTCCATGGGCAATTCTTTGCGCAAACGAAACAAAGCGATCCTTTCCTAAAAAGAATAATCACAGGCGATGAAAAATGGATTGTTTACAAAACCTTGAAGCGAAATAGGCAAACTCATCAAAAAAAAATTATCACCATTAACTATTCCAAAAGCTGCTTTCTGTTCTGAGAGATTTTAAGGATCTTGTGC